TCCCTCAGCAATAAAGCGAGATGAGTGCCGCAACCCAGAGTCGGCCATGCTGGACCTAATGGTCAGGGGTCCCTTTACCTTTACCTCGGGTTAAGTACAGTGGTACCTCAGGTTAAGTACTTAATTCGTTCCGGAGGTCCGTACTTAACCTGAAACTGTTCTTAACGTGAAGCACCACTTTAGCTAATGGGGCCTCCTGCTGCCGCCGCACTGCCAAAGCACAATTTCTGTTCTCATCCTGAAGCAAAGTTCTTAACCTGAAGCAATATTTCTGGGTTAGCGGAGTCTGTAACCTGAAGCGTCTGTAACCTGAAGCATATGTAACCCCAAGTACCACTGTACTTAATTCGTTCTGGAGGTCCGTTCTTAACCTGAAACTGTTCTTAACCTGAGGTACCACTTTAGCTAATGGCAGACTCATTCCAGAAGGTTCTGGGCTCTCCTTCCTTGGAGGTTTTTAAGCAGAGGTTGGACGGCCATCTGCCATGAATGCTTTTGCTGAGATTCCTGCATTGCAGGGGGGTTGGACTAGATGACCCTCGAAGGTCCCTTCCAACTCTTAAGATTCTGTGATTCTAAATGATCTGCTCTTGTGTGTTGATTAATAGATATATTCACCATCCTTGGGAAGATCATTTGGGAAGGGGCGAAGCCGATGGCCCAGCACTGACTCCAGGACACGTGAATGGGGCTTTTTTTGGGGGGGGTGCCTCTGGCCTTTTTAAAGCTGGCCTCCCCTCCGGTTCCCTTCCGCCTGGGGGAAGAGGCATCTCTCTGTCTTCCTCCCTGGATGACTTCTGCAGCCCTCGATCTGCAAGCGGTTTCACAGATGCTGGAATCTCCAGCAGCTGTGGGGTTGTTTTCGTTTCAGTTTGTTGCTGCTTTGTGTAACCTCCAGCAGAGCCGGCCGTCCCCTGTTTCCCCCCCCACAGCCTTGCAGGGTGGTGCTTTGCCAGCATCCATCAGGCCTGGGGTTTGGCTGGTTGGGTCCCTCCTGGCCACCCTGCTGCCCGTCTGCTAACACCGCTGACCCCGTTTGGCTTATGGCTCCTTAATGCCAGTGAGTCACGCCAGCCGCCCCTCTCGGCCAAGAGGATTTCTGAGGCTCTCGGCCTGTGGAAAAATCCAATCCAGCCCATCAGCTGGGGATGGAAATGGCCTGTCTGGTAAACCGATTGCGTCATCAGGCTTCCTGCATTGGCTCAGCATTCCCGCGCCTCACGCCAGCTCTCAGAATCCGACCCTTTTTGTGCCAGTCCTTCTGCATCAGTTGGGGGAACTGGTCCCAGCTGTTGTCTCATTTTCCCCTCCTGGTTTCTTGGGGTGGCATAATTGCCAAGGAAGGTGGCGTTTCGGGAGCAGGGTGGGAGGGGCAAGAATGCACACCCCCATAACAGGCACCGCATGGAATCTTTTACACCCGTCGGGAGCTTTCTGTGCTCCTCCATCACGTCAAGGGAGCACGGGAAGTGGAAGTGGTCACTGAATACAGTGAGGTTCTCTGCCGAAAATACATCTGTTTAAATTCCAAGGTTCTAGTCCTCTTGACAGTGGAGAAGGGTGAGCTTTAAAGCAATCTGGGTTACTAGGTGTAATCTCAAAGCTGGAGTGGTCTAATCAGGATTCTGAATGGCACACCTTCCAACATTATGGAAACAGGGACGTCCTATTCTATTATTATTATTATTATTATTATTATTATTATTATTATTATTATTATTATTACTACTACTGTTGTTGTTACCCGGCCCATATGGGTTTTGCTTCTGGTTTCCCCAGCCACTCTGGGTGGCTTCCACCATATATAAAAAGATAATAAAACATTAAACGTTTTTGAAAGCTTCCCTCTACAGGGCTGCCTTCAGATGTCTTCTAAAAGGTTGTATAGTTTCTTATCCCCTTGGCTCGGGGGTCACGTAACTCCATACCCTCCTATGAAAAAAGGGACGTCCTAAGGAAAAGCGGGACATTATGGGATCAAATCAGAAACCGGGATGGCTTCTGTAAATCCTTGGCTGGCCCTGGAAAATAGGGGACACTTGTAGGGTCTGGAATTTCTAGCAGGCAGGATGTGGGGGCTGCCTTGGGAGGACATTTTGTTTTCTTCAATCTGTGGCTCAAGGATGGGGAACCTGTGGCTTTTCAGGGATTGCCGGACTACGTCTCCCATCATCCTTGGCAGCTCTGAGCGGGGCTGATGGGAGTTGGAGTACACCACTACCTAGAACAGGGGTCAGCGAACTTTTTCAGCAGGGGGCCGGTCCACTGCCCCTCAGACCTTGTGGGGGGCTGGACTATATTTTGGAGGGAAAAAAGAAATGAATTCCTATGCCCCACAAATAACCCAGAGATGCATTTTAAATAAAAGGACACATTCTACTCATGTGAAAACACCAGGCAGGCCCCACAAATAACCCAGAGGTGCATTTTAAATAAAAGGACACGTTCTACTCATGTAAAAACATGCTGATTCCTGGACTGTCTGCAGATTTAGAAGGTGATTGGGCCGGATCCGGCCCCCGGGCCTTAGTTTGCCTACCCATGACCTAGAAGGTCACAGGATCCTCACTTGCTGCTTTAAGCTCTTAATTCTCTCTCTGGTTCCGTCTTTCTGTTCTTAAACTGCTGCTTTATTTATTTATTATCATTTATTGCATTTATGTCCGAGCTTAGACTGAGAGAGGCAGTGAGTGGCCCAAAGTCACCAAGCGACTTTGAACCCTGGTCTCTACCAGTCCTGGTCTGACACTTTAACGACTGTGCCCCCCCTGGCTCTCTTTTCCTCTCCCTCTTCATCAAAAGTTTCCCCTCCAGACATTCCTATTCCTGCCCACCTCCCAACCATTTGCTCCCACTAAGGAAACACCCTTAGCATGTTTTATTTGGTCAAATCCCTGGCCGCGATCAGCTGTTTGGGTGAATGCAAATTCACCATGAGCCTCCACCCAGAGTATCTCACAGTGGTGTTGTCAGAAATCAGGGTGGAAGGAGGGATGTATTGATTTCTGCCTTCCTCCCCAGGTGGCTTCTCCACCCATTCGGCCACTGTCAAAGCCCCCTTGGGGTCTGAACAGGCCAGAAACTGTGGCCCTTCAACTTTTTACAGTGAGAGGTACATGTCATCATTGCTTGGATCTTTGGCCCCTGAAAGGCTGAGCCACAGAGGCAGCTGAATTCTGAGGTAGCTTTTAAACAGAGGGTGGAATGACGGATGAAATCTGTGTACAGTGGTAAAGGTAAAGGGACCCCTGACCATTAGGTCCCAGTCGTTACCGACTCTAGGGTTTCGGCGCTCATCTTGCTTTATTGGCCAAGGGAGCCGGCGTACAGCTTCCGGGTCATGTGGCCAGCATGACTAAGCCGCTTCTGGCGAACCAGAGCAGCACACGGAAACGCCGTTTTCCTTCCTGCCGGAGTGGTACCTATTTATCTACTTGCACTTTGACGTGCTTTCGAACTGCTAGATTGGCAGGAGCAGGGACTGAGCAACGGGAGCTCACCCCGTCGTGGGGATTCGAACCGCCGACCTTCTGATCGGCAAGTCCTAGGCTCTGTGGTTTAACCCACAGCGCCACCCGCGTCCCGCGTGTACAGTGGTACCTCGGGTTAAGTACTTAATTCGTTCCGGAGGTCCGTTTTTAACCTGAAACTGTTCTTAACCTGAAGCACCACTTTAGCTGATGGGGCCTCCTGCTGCCGCGCCGTCGAAGCACGATTTATGTTCCCATCCTGAAGCAAAGTTCTTAACCCGAGGTACTATTTCTGGGTTAGCGGAGTCTGTAACCTGAAGCATATGTAACCCGATGTACCGCTGTACTCTGCATTCGCCAGAATCCTGGCGAGGGAAAATCTGGTGTGCGGAACTTGTCGTTGGGGCAAATGTGGCTGTCCAGAAACCCAAATATCAGAGCTGCTTCTTTTCACCCTTCCCATGCCTTGCAGAGTGGGGAGCTCCGATTCCTTCCCTTGCTGTTTTTCCCCCCTCTAGGCTCAAGACCCAGTTTTGTATTTCATAGAATTGTAGAATCATGGGGAAAGGACCCCAAGGGTCATATATTCCAACCCCCTGCAATGTGGGAATCTCAACGACAGGTTGCAGCCAGAGCTTTGTTCCCAGCACCCTGCCTTCATTGCCATGTGTCAGAGGACGGGAGTGGAAACTGCTGTGGATTCACTTCTCCTTGCTCACTTGGAGAACCATTGAGTGGAGAAGGTGGGGGAGCTACCAACTCTGATGGTTTTAAGAGGATTGGAGAGGTTCATGGAGGAGGCAGCAATGCTTCTGAATTCCAACCAGTTATTGGAAACCACAGGAAGGGGGAGTTGCAACGAGGCTGCCAGATTTCTGCCTTTCTTTTGTCCCGGCCAAAGACATTTTGTTGGCCACTCTCAGAGACAGAAAGCTAGACTTTCTAGCAGCAGGATCAAGGTGTGCGCGCCTTATTTCCCTAACTCCCCATCCAAAATAAGGCAAGTGCAAATGGTCAAGCACTTCCAACACCTGCTGAAAATGTTTTTTTCTGTCTCCTGGCTGCTGCCGCCAGCCTTTTATGTTATTCTAAGGATGCTTTTGAAGAGTCTACCTAACTCCTCCAGCGATTTTCATTGAGATGCCCACATAACCAGAAACAAACAAATACTTTAACGAATCAAATAATAAACCCTAAATGTTAGGTCCATTTTTTTGGACTCCTAGGACACGATCTCTGCTTCTCCAACCTGGAAATGTTCCAGATGTTTTTGACTATAGCTTTCACCAAGCAGGAGGTGCAGGGCTGATCCACAGTGCACTTCCAAAGCACATGACCCACCCCCCAAAAAAAGAATCCTGGGAACTGCAGTTTCCCCCTCGCAGACCAATTCCCCGCACCCTACAGTTCCCAGGATTCTTTGGGGTCAAGAGACGTGTTTTGAATGTGCATTTGATGTGCCTTTCAATGTACGGTTCAGCTCTACCCATAGTCCAGATCCTCTGAGGGATGCCTCGTTGGTGCAACCAGTGCGCAGGCTCACTGCGGCTGCTTTTCTTGCCTCTCTCCACAGAGTTCGAAGCCAAAGCTGCAGACCAGCTGCTCAGAGATCCAAGAAATCCGTCCCTGCACTCGCCTGGAGATGCCGGACCACGCAGACACCTTTGTCCTCAAGATGCTGAAGGTATCCTTTTGCAGCTGCTGCACTTCCGGGAGGGAGGGACCCTTCAGGGGCATCTGGAGGATGCCTGGCGGCTAACAGATTGAGGTTCAATCCTGACAAGACAGAAGTACTGTTTTGGGGGGGACAGGGAGCAGGCAGGTGTGGGGGACTCCCTGGCCTTGAATGGGGTAACTGTGCCCCTGAAGGACCAGGTGTGTAGCCTGGGAGTCATTCTGGACTCACAGCTGTCCATGGAGGTGCAGGTCAATTCTGTGTCCAGGACAGCTGTCTACCAGCTCCATCTGGTACGCAGGATGAGACCCTACCTGCCCGCGGACTGTCTCGCCAGAGTGGTGCATGCTTTAGTTATCTCTTGCTTGGACTACTGCAATGCGCTCTACGTGGGGCTACCTTTGAAGGTTACCTGGAAACTACAACTAATCCAGAATGCGGCAGCTAGACTGGTGACTGGGAGTGGCTGCCAAGTCCACATAACACTGGTCTTGAAAGACCTACATTGGCTCCCAGTACGTTTCCGAGCACAATTCAAAGTGTTGGTGCTGACCTTTAAAGCCCTAAATGGCCTCGGCCCAGTATACGTGAAGGAGCGTCTCCACCCCCATCGTTTTGCCCGGACACTGAGGTCCAGCGCCAAGGGCCTTCTGGCGGTTCCCTCACTGTGAGAAGCCAAGTTACAGGGAACCAGGCAGAGGGCCTTCTCGGTAGTGGCGCCTGCCCTGTGGAACGCCCTCCCATCAGATGTCAAAGAAATAAACAATTATCTGACGTTTAGAAGACATCTGAAGGCAGCCCTGTTTAGGGAGGTTTTTAATGACTGATGTTTTAATGTATTTTTTAATCTCCTGTTGGAAGCCGCCCAGAATGGCTGGGGAATAAGTAATTAATAATAATAATAATAATTTATTATTATTCCTGGGCAGTATATAACTCCTGTGCTCTGAGATCTTCACTGGATGCCAGTTTGCTACTAGGCCAAGCTGAAGGTGTTACTGTTAGCATATGCTGTTAGTATATATGCGTACTGATATACATTTTATGAAATTAATTAAAGGGTCTGGATATCCCATGGGGTTTTAAAGATGACCTGAACCTAGACAGCATTGCCTTAGCATTATGAAGAACTCCCAGTGTTTATCTTCTTTTTCTTTCCCCCCCGCCACAGGTGAACACCTCCATGGATGTTGTATTTGAGGCTGGAGATGACCAGCAACTGCGTTCCTGGATGTGTGAAATTAAAGAGTGTCTCCATCGAGGGTGAGTTATTGCCCCACTACTCTCTGTGCCAGGGCTGTGTGATGCAGTTCTTCAGGTGTTTTTCATTGCTAGGGTGTTGTTTTGTGTGTTTTTTTTTTTAAAAAGAGGATTTCTAGTCCCCATGGCTGGAAGATAAGCTTGAATGTGTACAGCGATTCCTTGTGGAATATCTGAAGCAAGGGAGGCATTGGGCTGCCTTGATTAGCAGATGCAGAACGAATTAGACAAGATTATCTTTTGATGGTTACAGAGTCCACCTTTTTCCTGGCGCAGATTTTCTTTCTCTCTTATTGCGCAGTGTGGATCCAGGTTCACATACTCAGAGTCTCTCGCGTTGACTTTTGCTTCATGTATTGCAGGCCGTAATCTAGGCCCCTAAAAAGTGGTTCCAGGGCTGGTCCTTGGTTGGTACCAGTCAAGCTCTGGACAGAAGGTATTGGAAGAAGGGAAGTGCGTAGGAATGTCCCCCCACCCCCAGTTTTCTCAGCACCTCATGAGGGTTAGAAACCTGCTTCTTTAAATAAACAAAAAGCCTGTCCTGAAACTTCCAACGTTCAGCCTGATGGGTTGCCCACGAATTCTAGAGTTATGAGTGAGAAAAACTTTAGTCTATCCACTTTCCCATGCCAGGCATAATTTTATAAACTTCTATACTGTCTCCTGTTACTTACCTTTTCTCTAAAGCCCCAAACACGGCAGGCTTTCCTTATGGGGGATTCATACTATCCTCATCATTTTTATTGCCCTTTTTATCTTTTTCCAACTCCAACACTATCCTTTACTGGGTATTTCCTGTACTCTATAGCCTGGACTGACCTAGAGGTGAAAATGCCCAGAGTAAGGATGGCTTCTGTGATGAAAATAGCCATACCTGAAAGAAAACGGTGTGGGACTAGGTGTTCCTTGTGTGCAACGATGCAGGAAAGCTGAAGAATTGGTTGAGGAATTCAATCTTGATCTATTTTATTTATTATTTTATTATTTATTTAATTTATTGTTTTATTATTTATTTATTTATTTTAATTTATTATTTTATTTATTTTATTTATTTTATTTATTTATTTTTATTTTATTTATTATCGGTAGAGGAATTCAATTTTTATTTCTGAACCTTTTCTTTTTAAACTTTCTCGGCCTTATGCCTCCAAATATTGGCTTTGAAGTGTGTGACTGGTAAGTACTAAAATTTCTAAAGCTGGGAGAAGTGCCGAATTAGATTGCCAGCCGACGGGTATAAAAAACCACAAAAATACGTACCCAATCATAACAAATACAATATGCACAATTTTAAAAAGGCCATAAATGACTATCAGGTCTAAACCAGATGCATGCTCTAGTTATATCCCGCTTGGACTACTGCAATGCACTCTGCGTGGGTCTAACCTTTGAAGGGGACCCGGAAACTACAACTAATCCATAATGTGGAAGGCCAGACGGTGACTGGGAGTGGCTGCCGAGACCACATAACACCGGGTCTTGAAAAGACCTACATTGGCTCCCAGTATGTTTCTGAGCACAATTCAAAGTGTTGGTGCTGACCTTTAAAGCCCTAAACGGCCCTCGGCCCAGTATACCTGAAGGAGCGTCTCCACCCCATCGTTCTACCCGGACACTGAGGTCCAGCGCCGAGGGCCTTCTGGCAGTTTCCTCCCTGCAAGAAGTGAGGTTACAGGGAACCAGGCAGAGGGCTTCTCGGTAGTGGCGCACCGCCCTGTGGAACTCCTTCCCACCAGATGTCAAAGAAAATAAAACAATTATCTGACGTTTAGAAGAACATCTGAAGGCAGCCCTGTTTAGGGAGGTTTTTAATGACTGATGTTTTAATGTATTTTTAATCTCCTGTTGGAAGCCGCCCAGAGTGGCTGGGGAAACCCAGCCGGATGGGCGGGATACGAGTAATAAATTATTATTATTATTATTATTACTTGGACTGCAGAATCCATGTCCTTTCTGCACCTTGTCTTCTGCTTGGCTTGGGAGATTTGTTTTAAGCCCTGGCGTCCATAGGGAAGCAAGAACTTCCTCTTGTGTACCTGGGGGTTTAAAGTCCTTCCCAAGTCAGAGTGTGGGATGCCAGGTGGATGCAAGCCCGTCTCTCTCTCAACGCCTCTTGGAAAATGTACTACCTGTTTCTCGTGCCATTCTTTTAAAGACCTCCCACTTCCTCTTGGAGCTTCCTCTTACTGAAATCTGCCAAGGGCAAGAAGTGGTATTGTGATTCGCAGAGAGCCATACTGTGATTCCTTTCATTCACACACACACACACACACACACACACCCTCCACCAAATTTCAGGCTCCTTTTTGAGCTTGTAGCTGCAGTGCTGGGTGGCAACGGAACTCCCTGTGTCCAAAACCTAAGAGCTATTACTATCCCAATCTGCCTGCTTCTCCAAGGTTCAGTGTCCCTTTTTCGGAGTATAAAATGGCTACATTAACACTGGGTATTTGGTCAGGGGTAGCATAAATCAGGTCCCAAACTTGTCACTAGTGCCAGGCCGCTTGGTAAGTGGGGGGGGGGTGGTGAAGACAACTTGGGTGACATCTGAGCATGGAATCTGTGTGCCCAAATAGTTGTGCTGCACAAATCTCTTTCACACAAACACAGCAACTTGGACCAGTGTTCAGTGCAACATGTGAATAAGCCTGTAATGCCAACAGTTCTCTTCCTCCTGCAAAGGTTAATTTTCACGGCAGGAGTTCCCAAATTCTGGTCTGGGGATCACTGGTGGCCCACAAGCTGCACAGTGTGTTTGAAGAATGGTGGGAGCAGCGCATGAAATAGTCGTTTTGATTGCATTTTGATTGCTGTTTCTATTTCTTGTCTTGCATTTTGTTATTTATCACCGTATTTTCCATTGCGTTCTAGGGAACTAAAATGGGAATGCAATAAAATACAAAATAAAATACAGTTTGAAAGCACGTCAAAGTGCAAGTAGATAAATAGGTACCGCTCCGGCGGGAAGGTAACCGGCGTTTCGTGCGCTGCTCTGGTTCTCCAGAAGCGGCTTAGTCATGCTGGCCACATGACCCGGAAGCTGTACGCCGGCTCCCTTGGCCAGTAAAGCAAGATGAGCGCCGCAACCCCAGAGTCGGCCACGACTGGAGTTAACGGTCAGGGGTCCCTTTACCTTTATAGTGCCAGCAGACTCACCACTGCCTTGTGCTGAGAGAAAACAATATGGATTTTTTCCTGGAATTTCAAGTTTTCTGGTCCTCACCCCCATCAGGGAGCTCTTTCTTTTCGCTTTTTTGCTTTTCTTTGCCTTATCTTTTGTTGTTGGCCTTGGGGGCAGGGGACTTTATCTGTCCTGCTGGTGTCTCACAATCAGAACAACATTCCCTCCTCTTTCAGGTCAGAAGGCGCTGACGTTGAGCTGATCTCGGACTCTCACTCGGAGGCTGTGACTGCAAGCCCCACAACCAGCAGCACGGACTCCCTGAACCAAGGTATTTGGGGCTCATCTGGGGCGAGGTTTGGGGTTGGAGGGGGATCCTCTCCTATGCCTTTCAAGAAAAAAAGTACCAAGAAACATCTGGTTGAGCAGTTCAGGCTCCTGGACTCTGGGGAATCAACAGAAGGGAGTTCTCCGATAATAACAAAGCTGTCTATTTTTTGTTTTGTGTTGCTAATTCTCTGGCTCTGCAAACTGTAAGCACTTGTGTGTGGTGCAACACGCTTTTACCATAGCTGCCTGAGCTTTTCTGGGGGGAGAAATTGTTTAAAATGACAGCTGAGCCCTTCCCTCTCCCCTAGGGGCAATGCCACCCAGCCTCCCAGACCAGAACGGCCAGAAGACTGACCACTACCTGACATCCTTCCCCTGGTTCCATGGCCCCATTTCTCGAGTCAAAGCCGCTCAGCTGGTTCAGCACCAGGGCCTTGACGGACATGGGGTTTTCCTCATCCGACAGAGTGAAACCCGCAGGGGAGACTACGTCCTCACTTTCAACTTCCAAGGAAGAGCAAAGGTACAGCGTCTCTTGCTGAGGGGGCTCCCTCTGCCACCAGTCAGTACGTTAGCTGGCAGGCTTTCATGGCCCCAAACTGGAGCACTGTTGAAATCCCGCTTGGACTTCATATCTAAATAGCTTTTTTTTTTAATGTCCAGACTTGCGTCCAGACTTAATGTCCAGACTTGCGATAAGGCAGCCACATTCAGGGGGGATGTATTCAAAGGAATTAGATAACTGGACCAAAAATATTCAAAGGCGCAGAGTTGGTTTTACTTAATCTTTACCCAGGGGACAATATAAATCTGAATTTTAAGCCTCTTATTGGCCAGCTTCTTGGAGGATGGGGCATTGACCACATGGTTGAGATGTCTGGCATTTAGTGTTGATGGAAAAATTAATCGCTAAACAAAAAATAGCAAGAGGAATGGAATAAAAAGACAATCTTTTGGTGGATTGGTATACTTTTATTATGTTCAGTGCAAGAGAGGAAAATGCAATTATAAAAGAGAGAGAGAAATGAGCTGGACTACAACTCTCATGGCCATGGCTGACTGGCGCTCATGGGATTTGTAGTCCAAGACACCAAGGTTGGGGAAGGTTAGCAGTGGGGTTTCTCCCTGGCTCAGGTGATGGGATTTGCACACGCCCTTCTGATCCTTGGCTGAAACTTTTACATGACCTGTATGAATTGGCTGCTGTTGCTGGACATGTGTCTTCCTGCTTCCATTACCTTGGCAGCACCTACGGCTCTCCCTAACCGAGAGGGGCCAGTGTTGTGTCCAGCACCTGCACTTTGCCTCCCATTTTGGACATGTTGCACCACTTCCAGCGCTTCCCATCCCCCCTGAGTGCGGAACGGCCTGCAACGTACAGCTGTCCAGCTATGTAGTGGGTTCTTCCACATGCCAAGGTAGGAGGCAGCTATGGCTGCCATTTAGTCTCTTCCATGCATTGGGCCTTTTCAACCACACTCGGCTTTAAGCAGGAAATAAGGAGCGGAGGCAGACAGATGCACAGACCGCTGGGGACGGAACTTGGGGGATTTTCCTCTCTTCATATGCTAAGCTGCGATCACTGAACACTTACAGTTTGTTAAGATTTTTACACCATCCTCTGTTTTCTGCCAACATCTATCAAGGTGAAAGGGCGTTTTCTAGAATCCTGCTGAACAGCTTCAGCAGGCCTTGGAGAATTCGAAGGCTCTGTCCTTCTAGAATGAGGAAGGCAGCTGGCTTTTGGACACCAGCGCTTGTGGTTTCCTTCCACTGTAATTTGGTGGGGAAATCCCTTGCCATATCCTCCACTCTCTTCCGCTTTTGATCACTCAGCTGGAAGCCTCTGCCTGCTGAACTGAGCTGGAGAAGTGTGTGTGTGTGTTGTGTATAAAATCACATCACCAACATATGATGCTTCTGCTTAGGTGCAAAGCAGGAATGTGTGTTGCTTAGGGGGTGACATAGCCCATTCCTGCTTTGCTGATACAGGAATTGGAAACAGAAAAGAAGGAAGCTCTTAGCACCACCAAGGAACATCTTAGCTAGTTGCAGACAAGGATGACCTCAAAAGCATCAGGTACAGTAGTGTAAAGTTAGCTAGTTCTGTTTCTTTCTAGTCATGCCAGCAATGACTACTGTAGGTCCATTCAGGGCTAGTAACTTTCAGAGTCTTGTTGAGAAGGGAGCAGAGTGCCTCACCTGCTATTTGGCTGCTGTCTGTGCTGCCCTTGCAGCTGTGGAGAATTTGCAGCTTATCAACGGTTCCTGAAAACATGGAACCAGGCCATTGTGCTATCACCACTGTGGAGTTGGTATGGATGTCATATTTGGTGTTCTGTAAAAGTAAACACCAAAGGGATGTGGGTGGGCACTGTGGTCTAAACCACAGAGCCCAGGGCTTTGCCGATCTGAAGGTCGGCTGTTCAAATCCCCGCGATGGGGTGAGCTCCCGTTGTTTCAGTCCCTGCTCCTGCCCACCTAGCAGTTTGAAAGCACATCTAAGTGCAAGTAGATAAATAGGTACCACTCCAGCAGGAAAGTTAAACAGCATTTCCATGCGCTGCTCTGGTTCGGAAGCTGTCTGCGGACAAACGCTGGCTCCCTTGGCCTATAGAGCGAGATGAGCACGCAACTCCAGAGTCGTCCGCAATTGGACCTAACGGTCAGGGGTACCTTTACCTTTAAAGTAAACACAAGATTCTAGTCCTTACAGCTAACAGTACTTTTTTAAGAGTCGGTGGGTCGTGCCTCCTCAAATATCAGAAATGAATTGACACCGCCTTACATTTTCAATGGCTGAGGATGTGGTCAGGTGCCCCATATTAGAAACTTGCCCTAGCAAGACTGTAAAAAAAGGGGGGGCATATAGTTCTATATCTGCCAAGTCACATCTTACTCACCTTTTTAGTTTAGAGGCGACATGATAGAAGTGATAAAATTAATAGTTTTAGCACTGG